TTTTCTACCCCCGCAAAGAATATATGTGTTATGGTGAATTGTTGTGGGTTAAAGAGTTTTTCTAATTAAAGTGACAATTTTGAAATAGGAATTATTTTATTGTTCAGCGTCGCCACTTGGAATTGATTTTTGGGTGTTCCAAGACACCTTTTATTTGAATCCCTTATTCGAAGGAAAATTTGACTCTTTTATTATTGGTTTGTGAAAATAAAGTTCGGGTGTGAAGACCCAAAATGTCATCTTTAAATTAAATAATCATATCGATGTTTTAAGACCTTGAAAAGCACTATCAATAATTCCTCGTCTTGCGTGCGAAGTCCTTATAATTTTCCGAAAGGATTTTATGTGAAAAAATGGATTAAAATATGAATTAGAGCTTTAAAACTTGACTAAGTTGACTTCGGTCAACATTTTGAGTAAACGAACCCGGATTCGATTTTTGACCATTCCGGTAGTTCTGTATCGTGATTTGGGACTTGGTCATATGCCCGAAATCGAATTCAGAGGTCCCTAGCTCAAATTATCGCCATTTAACGGAATCGAGAAATCTAAGGCTAAAGATTTTTTAAGTTTGACCAGAGATTTGACTTTTGCGTAAACGACCCCGGAATGAAATTTTGATCATTCCAATAGCTTCGTATGGTGATTTCGGACTTAAGCGCATGTTCGGATTTGTATTTGGAAGTCCGTAGGATAGTTCGGCGCATTTTGGCGAAAGTTGAAAAATAGAAGATTTTTGGGAAGTTTGATCGAGAGTTGACTTTTTGATATCACGGTCGAAATCTGATTCTAAAAATTGAAACAACTCTATTATGTCATTTATGACTCGTGTGCAAAATTTGAAGTCATTCCGGATTGATTTGGTACGTTTCGGCGCAAAATATAAAAGTTGGAAGATTTGAAAACTCATAATTCAATTCGATGCGTGATTCGCAATTCCGGCGTTGTTTGACGTGGTTTGAAGCCTAGATTAAGTGTGTATTGTATTTTGGGACACGTTGGTATAATTGGTTAAGGTCCCGAGGGCCCCGGGTAGATTTCGGAAGGTTAACGGAATGGATTTCAGACAAAAAGAGAAGAAGAGGGGTTGCTGGAATTTTCTGCTGAGAAGCTGTCTTTGGACAGCAACTGTGCAATCGTGGAGCCTAATTTGGAAGCTAATATCTAGCAATCTATAAAGAATCTGAAAATGTACAAAACATGAAAGTTGTAGCCCTTGCATTCTAATTTCCAGAAAATTAAACCATTTATCATTTGGAAATTTGTACAAAAAGTTATGATCGATTGAAAAAGGGCTGGTAAAGCTGTTTTGAAATTTCCCAGAAATTTCTGAAACGAGGAGGCTAATTTGGAAGCTTATAACTCGAAATATATAAGGAATCTGAAAATTTTTAAAATAAGAAAGTTGTAGCCCTTGGATTCTAGTTTCCAGAAAGTTAAACCATTTGTTATTCGGACATTTGTAGAAAGTTATGGTCGATTGACTGAAGGCTGATAGCAGCTTTTGTTTGCCCGAAAATATGAGACAAAGTCGCATTTGACACATGCGACTTGCCTAGGCAGAATACTTAAAAATAGGAGTTAGCCATTTTTACTCATTTTTGAGTTTTGAGTCTCGGATTTGGGCGATTCCAAAGGGATTTTTTCACGAATTCGACTTGGGTAAGTGCTCTCTATCCGCAAGTGATTATATTTCATAAATCTATGTCAATATTCATCATTTATTTTCAGATTTAGATGGAAGAAATTTAGGTTTTTGTAAAATCTTCCAAAAACGAAAATTTAAGATTTGAAAGCTAATCCGATGTCGGAATTCGATAATTTTGTATGGTTGAACTCGTATCGGAATGGGTTGTCGGATTTTATGAGTTTCGTCGGATTTCAAGACGTGGGCCCCACGGGCAATTTTTGAGTTAAATTTCGAATTTTAATCCAAAATTTAGTAAATCCATTTGGAATTAATTCCTATTTGAGTATTTCGAATTGTTTATGAATAGATTTGTAGATTTAAGAGACAAATTCAAAAAAGGAAAGTTGTGGTCGAGTAATTGATTGAAATTGCAAAGCGAGGTAAGTGTTTGGTTTAACCTTGACTTGAGGGAATAGGAATCCCCAACTTAATTATTATGTGAAATTTCATGTGTGTGGTGTATAGGTGAGGTGACGAGTATCTATGCGCCACCAAATTTTCTGCTTACATGATCCTTTCCTCGTTTCCAATATAATTGCTTCATGTTTTAATTGTTTCATGTTCATTGTTGTTTCTATGATTACTTGGCTTGTTAATTTGTTAATAAGCCTTGTTGCAATTATTTATTTTTTGAAAAAGTATTAGCTGTATTCCTTGGTTTCATTATTGTACATAAAGATTGAGTGGGTTGACGTTGTTTTACGATATATATATATATATATATATATATATGTGTGTGTGTGTGTGTGTGTGTGTGTGTGTGTATTCATGTTGGTTTCATTTTGAGATAATATTGATGAGTTTATGAGAAGTACAGTTTTCTGTTTACATTTGTTGAGATAAAAGTTTTGTGAAAGGCTTGGCCTGAATTGTGAAAGTTTTTAATAAATAAAATAAATGATAGTGAGAAGGGTGGACATGTAATATAAATGATAGTGATAAGGGTAGACAGGTGAAATAAATGATAGCGATAACGGTGGACAGGTGAAATAATTGATAGCGATAAGGGTGGACAGGTGGGATCGGGTTGCACACCGCAACGAGACAATGATAAGGGGGGACATTTATGTTTTACTGATTTTTAATACAAGATTTGGAAAATTTACGGTTTTACTCTACTGTTTCTCATACTCTGCACATATGGTTAGTTTAATGTGAAGTTTGGAAATTTGGAGATTTGTGTGAGATCTTGGTTACAGCTGAGGCCTGGAATAGGCGACTGAGCTATTTTATTTAATGTGACAGTTTATCTTTCTTGTTAGTGTAGAATTGTTTTATTGCTTTATTATATATAATGGTGCAGGTTAAGTTACATTGCCTCGCCTTAGCCTCGTCACTACTTCGTCGAGGTTAGGCTCGGCACTTACTCAGTACATGGGGTCGGTTGTACTGATACTACACACTGCACTTTTTTGTGCAGATACTGGAGTTGATTCTAGCGGCTCACATTAAACTTGCTCGGATTCAGCTATTTATAGGAGACTTGAGGTATAGCTGCAAGGCGTTCGCGGCTCTGAAGTCCCCTTCCACTTTATCATAGCTGTGTATTTCTTTCAGCCAGCTTTATTTTCATTCAGACCTTTATTTGTATTATTTTAGTAGCTCGTGCACTTGTGACGCTAGTTCTGGGATGGTTTTTTTGACATCGCTAGTATTATGGATTAATTGTTTTATATCAGAATTACTTCCGCGTTGTTTCTTTGTTATTAAATTGAATTTAAAATTGTTAAAGATGGTTAATATTACTCTAAAGTTGGCTTGCCTAGCAAGTGAAATGTTAGGCGCCATCACGGACCCAAATATGAGAATTTTGGGTCGTGACACCGGGTAAGGAATTCGGTTGACCGGGGAGAAGGTGCAAGGCATTCCCCAAGTCCCGTGATTCTAGCACGGTCACTTTATTGACTTAAAATTTGGCTTGAATTAATTTTGGACAAACTATGATTTATATGATTTTCATGTTTTACCTATCCGCTTTTATTTCTTGACTATTAGAATTAAAAAAAAGGAATTTGGATAAATTACGTCGTCATAACCACGCTATGCCAAGCGAATGCGTGATCGAATTACAAAATTAACTAACTTATCATAATTTCGCCTCGCAAGCGAATCCAAAATTATGACAATCAACTATTTGTAGTACTTTTATGAAATTACTACATTTGAGAAAATTAATTCTTGAAAATTATTAAAAAGTCAACTACCGCGCTACGCAAGCGAATCCACGATTTAGTAAAAGATTAACTAAATTAAAAATTAACTAAAACTAATAGGCATGGTATGGGATTATTGAATTAAATTATTGAATGTTAAATATCACGCTAAGCAAGCGAGTCCGTGAATGAAAAAGTTAACGCGCCTATTAGTTGCTTTGCGCTTAAATTAATTGATTAAAAGAAATGAGTTAATTAATTGGTAATAAAAAACTGATTTGTATTATTATTTTCTAGCGTTATTGTTGGAAAAAATTATTCAAATAAATGTTGGACCAACTCTGTCTATTTTAAAGGGATGGGCCAACTTCTTGTTAAAGGAGAAATGGGCCGGCTTATGGATTTTAGAAAATGGGCCAGCTATTTATTTATGAGAAGTTTTCATAAAATACTATCTTTTAGGTGTAATTAGCCATTTATAGATACCTTTTGTTATATTACGGATTATAGATACCTTTTATATGGTTATAAGATGTATTTGATGTATTTAAGCTATTGTATTCATTAATACAACAACAAAAATAGGCGTAAAATTTTGGAATTCCAGCTAAGCTTGAGATGTATTCAGATGTATTCACGCGTTCTTATCGTGAATACAATAACGTATTTCACGTAAAATATGGAAGGTTGAACCTGTTTAAAATAGAAAGGAAATCAATTCACCTGATATTCTTCTAATTTAACTCAACTAACACAAACTATTGCCCATAAATCTGCATTCTTCCATTCATGATTCAACAAGAAAAATATCGAAAACCAGAGCAACATCTGAATTTTAAATTCTCCCTTTTTTCTGTACCCAGGTCTCTCTTCAACCACGAAACAGTGCGATTGATACAATTGTATACAGAATACGGTATAATTCCATTATACATAAGGCAAGTTTAACAGTGTTATTGCGTCATTTTGGCAAGTGGAACATTGAGAGCAATTATGTCGATTATTCAATTGAGGGAATACTGATAAAGGAGTATGCATCGTATAATGACTTGGTTGTGTAAATCTCTAATCAACTGGGCATAGATTTGAGCTCAAAGTCCATTAAAATTCAATACAAAGTAGAAGGAAATTGCACGCCAATGAAAATACACAATGATATGGGTTACAGGGTGCATGTAGAGTTGAAGAAAGAGAACAGAGAATTCAGGATGTATCCTTTGTGCATAACAACTATTGAAAAAGAACTTATATTCGGAGGTAGTTTAAATCAAGGCGACATTGTGCAAATAGACGAATCAGTTCAAAGGTATGATTCCGATACAGATGATACACTTGCTCTAGAATTTGTCAGTTCAGGACAAGCAATTGGGGTGTTCGAACTGGACAAGAATTTGATAATTTCAATAACTAATCAAAGGGAGGTTATGGTTGGACAAGTATATAAGGATAAGGCTACATTGAAAGAGGTGATGGAGAATTATGCTATATGTCAAAGGTTTCAATTCCGGGTTGATAGGTCTAATGCTGCCAGGTTTGAGTATATTTAATTTTTTTTGTATATTGTATTATTGGTTAGAGTTGTAAGTTATACGTTGATATATTTATGCGTATTTGTGGATTTTCACTTGATCTTCACTGATGTGTTTAAAGTCTGTTTGTTTATGGTCTTTAAAGATATGTATTCATATGAATTTTACTGGTATAATTACATTACAGTGGATCTAATTATTTTCCAATTTTGTTTACTGTTTGTATTTAATTGTATGCATATAACTATAATTGTATTAAGTTGTATTCGTTGTATTTAAATGCATATAACTATAATTGTATTCAGTTGTATAATAATTTATATATAGATGTCAGAATGCATTCATGTGTATATGAGGGCATTTTTTGGTAAATATTTATGCTAATCATACGTATAATGATAAATTCTTTGCAGTTATGCATTATTATGTATGTTAGAAGATTGTGAATGGAGGTTTAAGGCTTCGAGCATTAACAAATCAGAACTATTCAAAGTGAGAGAGTTCATTGATAACCATACATGTCTGCTTAAGGACAAGGTGTATGAGCAGCGACAGGAAAGTAGCAGCCTTATAGGTGGTATGATTAGGCCTAAGCTTACTAATCATAAGAGGAAATACAACCCAAAGGATATTATTAATGATGTGAAATTAGATTTAGGTGTAGATGTTAGCTACATGTTGGCGTGGCGGGCTAAAAAAAGGCAATGAATTTTTTGAGAGGTGAACAGGCTGATTCATACAAAATATTACCAGGATACTTATATATAATGGATATGACATATCCAGGTTCGCACATTAGAATGGTAAAATTGCCAAAAAATGAGTTCATGTATGTGTATATATCTTTGTATGCCTTTATAAAGGGGTTTGATCATTGTAGACCCATTGTGGTTGTGGATGAGAGTCACCTAAAATCTTACTACATTGGGACATTTTTCTCGGCAAGCTCGTTGGATGGTGCAGGTGAGTACGTGAATTATAATAAATTCTGTTAATATTTTAAAGATTGAAATATATGTTTTAAAAATAAGTATTCAATTGTCTTTACAGGTCATATATTGCCACTAGTATATGGTGTTATTGATTCAGAGAACGATGCTGCTTGGATATGGTTCTTTGAGCAATTCAAGATAGCATACGGTGGCAGAGAAAACATGTGTATCGTTTCAGATAGAAATGAGAGTATAATTAAATCTATATCGAGAGTGTATCCAGATGTACCGCATTTTGCCTGTATATGGGATTTATGGAACAACGTATATAACAAATTCAAAAAGAGCCATGCAAAGTTGAGCGAGATATACTTCTCGATGGCGAAAGCATACACACAAGCTGAATTTGACAGTCTAATGGAGAAGATGGAGAAGGTAGATATTAGGGTGAAAGAATACTTGGAGTTAGTTTGATACTAAAAGTGGGATAGGTTGTATGCACCTATTAACAGGGGATGGACCATGACATCAAATATTGTTGAGTCAATCAATGTCGCACTAGTGTCAGTAAGGGAATTGCCAATATACGACTTCCTCGAAGAAGTTAGGAAGATGTTTGGACGTTGGAGTTGCAGTAACCGCAAAGAAGCTACACAGACATACACAACGCTTGGAAAAAAATACTAGGAGATGCTGACTTTGAATGAGGCAATGTCTACACGAATGACTGTAAGTTTCATTTTAATGTCATTGTATCATATATTAAGTTATTTCTTTATATAGCTTAATTGTTTTCTGAAATAACTTATACAGAATTTTTTAGATATGTGTATTCAGTTGTTTTGTCATGCAGTAGCCTTATAATGTTATTTTAAATAGCATTATTATTCTTAAATAACTGCTGTATTTTACTGTATTCCGATGTATTTTATAAGTTCTCAATAATTGTAACCAACAAATGTATATCAATACTATGTATCTAATTGCCTCATTAGTCTTGAATAACAACATGTATTTAAATGTATTTAGATGTATTTTCTTTTCAGCTGCCTAAAGTTAAGCAGATGTTTGATGTACGTCATTGTATTCATACGCTAAGACGTAATTATAGTTTATAATTTGTCGGTCTACATATATGATGTATTCTTTTGTATTCAAAAATTTCAGTTTAACTGAATAATTCAGCATTATACATAAAGAAATTCATTTGTATGTTCTCAAAACTTATAGGTCTATGTTTAAATGTAGGTGGTACCATCGATTGAATACTTACATACGGTTAACGATGGAGGGAGGCATTACACTGTCTGCATGTTAGAGAGAAAATGCGTTTGTGGGAGGTTCCAAGTTGATGAATTACCATGCCCACATGCTTGGGCTGTATTGAAGAGCAAGTTTCTAATGCCAGAAGATTATTTCTCTAACTATTACAAACCAAATTCTGTTGTAATGACATATGATGTGTCTGTGATCCCGCTACCGGATAGAAATGACTGGAATATACCAGCGCATGTTGCAGAGGAAGTTGTATTACCACCCAAATGGAAAAGACCTCCTGGAATGCCAAATAAGAAGCACGATAAACCTTTCAGTGAATTGCTACAACCGAAAAATCAACATCCATGTAGCGTATGTGGTCACGGAGGACATAATAAGCGAACGTGTAGAAATGCACCACGTCAGATTTAGTTAACACTCTGACATGTATTAGTGCTCCAACGATTTGTCATTACTTCTGATGACATTGTGAAATAATAAATTTTGAAATGCCTTTCATCAATAGATTTTGGATACATTTAGTTGTAGTATTGTGTTGAATACATTCGAATACAACCTGTGTTGTATATACATAACTAATCAAAATACATCAGAATACAACTATATACTCGGCTATAATATAACAATTTCAATAAATACATATAACCTGAGTAAGTATTTGTAAGTATCAAATTAAGAAAAAGAAACTGAATATGATAAGTGAAAACTCAGTTCCAGATTCAAGAAGAATACATCTGAATACATTAAAATACATCTGAATATAGTTAAATGCAACATTTATTTAAGAATAATGATGCCATTTAAAATAACATTATTCATTTGTACAGAAATTGCGAGATAACAACTTCATTATTCAGAGATTTCAGTATTCATTTGTACTGGAATAATGATTCATTATTAGTAGTGTTAGCCTTGGTCTCTGAAATATACATCGGAATACAATTATATACTCAGTTATAATTTAACAAATTCAATAAATACATATAACCTGAGTAAGTAAAATAAATATATCAAGTTGAGTACATATGTAAAAACATGAAGTATACGGTTGCTGTATTCATATGTATTTCAATGTATTAGCAGTATTTACAGTTCCCAAGGTACATTTACAGCAACATTTACAGTTGACTTTAATAAACCTGAAACATACAGTTGCTGGCTTTCAATGACTTTGATAAGCCAAGTGACTGGATATTAATACACATTTATACACCTTGTTTAACACGTATGAATACATCTTGTAAGATACATACGAGTAGAAACTATATATTAAGCATGAATACTTATGAACAAAACAATAAAACATAAATTGAAAAGTTGTAATTGTCATACATGAACGCTGTAGATAAAGTCATTAAAACATTGCTTTTTCTAACTGAATATCATCTTCTGTCAAAAAGATATTCTAAGAAACAGTACTCACCTATAACAACATTCCAAAACTACATTCACCTAGAGCTACTCTAACACTATCTGTAACTTTGAATCTGACTCTGTGATTTGCCTAGTAATCTTGGAGGGTGCTTCATTCACACTTATGGCATCAGCGTCTATCTTCCGCATAGCATAGTCCCAGAGGAGAGGACCATATCTTTGACGGAGTAGATTAGAATTAAATGTTGTTTGTGGAATCTTACCAAGAGTGCTCAGAAACTCTGCGTATGCCGCAACATGCACCCCACCATCCCTAAAAAATGTAGATTGAAATAATTAAAAATAATTCATACAATTAGAGTTTTAAAATGATGATTGAATACATACATGCTCCCAACTTTTTGTTGAGGAAGATTTGATATGAAAACAACTTCAAAGGGATCAGTATGTGACTTATCAGTATATGCTGAGTAAGTAGACCAATCTATGCCTTATTGTCTCTATAAAAGCCACTGATTGATAGATACAGAGGTACAAGCCTAGCTAGCTTATTTATCAGAAGCTACATAGGCATCATGACCTGCAGATCTGTACGAGTCATACACTTTGATACATCTCTCCTTGAATGAGACAACAACCAATATCCAGTGTAGTTTGTCCTTCAAGTTGACTGGTATCAAGACATTGTCAACAGTATGCCAAGGTACATTAGCTAGCAATCTATAGCCCCTTATGTACTCACATACCACATCCTCTTCTTTGGCTACATTTGCATTACTATCTGTATCAGCATACCTGTCAAAGATTTCTGCGGATCTTGTCTTGAATATACAATCAACAGTTGTATACTTGATGTTGCTTGTTTGGTTGTACTTTCCCTTCTTTCTCAAATAGTAGAATATGACGTCAATTTGGTATACACAAATTCAATTACATAGTGTTAGTGCAATGAATCAAATTAAGAAAAAGAAACTGAATATTATAAGTGAAAACTCAGTTCCAGATTCAAGAATAATACATCTTACATTAAAATACAACTAAATACAGTTAAATACAGCAGTTATTCAAAAATAATGAGGCCTTTAAATACATCATACAGATTCAGTTAAGTACAACTGTTATTTAAAATTATAAAATAATTTTAAAATACATCTAAATACATTTAAATGCATGTTGTTATTCAAGACTAATGAGGCAATTAGATACATAGTACTGATATACATCTGTTGGTTTCAATTACTTAGAACTTTTAAAAATATATCTGAATACGGTAAAATACAACAGTTATTTAAGAATAATAATGTCATTAAATACATCATACAGATTCAGTTAAATACATTTGTTATTTACAACAGTAATGTTAAAATACATCTGAATACAACTAAATACAACAGATGTAAAAGTTACATCTGAGTACAATTGAATACATAAAAGTAATGTAAGACAAATTTGTGTGAGCTCAATTTGTGAATTATACAATTAGACAAACCAATACTAAAGAAATGAATTATAGTGGAGTTGGAAGGGGTAAAATTTACATTGTCGTCCCATAGTTTACCGTCAAACGATAGAAGGTAAAACCAATTTTTTGAATTGACTTGATCAACCCAAAAATCCAATGGTATCTGAAGTGTTGACTTATTCTTCTTGTAATGTTCTTCCAAATTACTTCTACAAGTATGATATAAAAAACATTATATCAATTTTTAAAAATATAAATACGTAATAGACATACAGGGGAAAAACTCACTTTTGTTCATGTCTAGCAAGAAGACCATCACGAACCCATTTGTCGTACTCCTGAATGATTAATGTAGGATGTGGCCCAGTTATTGAATCATCCTCAAAGGGGTGTCTTTTTTCAAAAATGGGGGTCAACTTTACTGAGGTACTTGTTGTTCATTAAATTCATGAATAGAGACTTTTAATTATAAAAACCATGGGGAAATAGATCATTAGTTTATAAAAAACTAACCTGTAGAGTCGAAGTTAGACTCGTAAGGCAAAGAATACCATCTACTTGGTCGTCGATTCCTATGAGATGGTACTGGGGTTGATTCACCTTTTTTTGCATTGTTGTGTATCACAATTCTAGTTTCTGGAATTTGAGTAGGAAGAAACTTGTCGTCCAGCTCAAATTGAGATACATAGAAATCTGTAGATACACTCTCTTGGCCTGTAGGTGGTATGTTGCACGGCAGCTCTGATGTAGTATTCCCCTCCACTCTTGACTCCACACAAAAAGCATTAACCACTATATTCTGTTAGAGGTATGCATCATTGTTAGTGTAGTAACTAACTGTATGAACACAGTTAAATACATATAAATACAATATAGAAACTGAATATGATAAGTGAAAAATCAGTTAAATACATCACACAAATTCAAGAATAATACATCCGAATACATTAAAATACAGCTAAATACAGTTAAATACACCAGTTATTCAAAATTAATGAGGCCATTAAATACATCATACAGATTCAGTTAAATACATATTTAATTTACAACTACATAGTAATATTAAAATACATCTGAATACATTTAAATACATATTGTTATTCAAGACTAATGAGTCAATTAGATACATAGTACCGATATACATCTGTTGGTTACAATTACTGAGAACTTTTAAAATACATCTGAATACAGTAAAATACAGTAGTTATTTAAGAATAATGATGTCATTTAAAATACATCTGAATACAGTAAAATACAGCTTAAATGTATACAAATATCATGTTGTAATATATATGAATACATGTAGATACAACATGAGAAGAGCACAATAATTATGTAGAAATAAAGTCAGGAAAATACAAATGCATATAGGATTAAGATAATTAAAAATACTGAATTATTCTGTATATACTTGTATTTCACAATGTACAAAATTATTTTATATATGATTAATCCAAATAAGAGCAAACAGGAGATATAAACATATGCTAAAAATGTTAAAAAATGTTAAACCTCAACATTATCCCCGATAATTGTATCAGTCTGTCTATGACCTTTTGGAATATCTTGCAAGTTAGTATCATATGGCAATTCAATACCATCATCACGTCTCCCTGTGGTTTCCTTTCTTTGGTGTAAGCTTTCTTTTTGTTGATTGTCTTTAAGATGGTCTGTGACGACTCGAACGGTCGTCTTAAGAATTAACTCTTTGATCCTCTATTAACTGCTTTCCCCAAGTTTATTTCTGCTAATGTGATTTGCTGAGATGTTCGGTTTTGAGTTTCGGGGAGTTTTGGAATACTTAGTCCCTAAATGAGAGCTTAAGTGTTGGAAAGTTGACCGTAGTTAGAACAGTGTGAAGACGGCCTCGGAATGGAAATCCGATGGTTTCGTTAGCTCCGTTGGATGAGTTCGAGTTTAAAGGCGTGATCGGATTGTGTTTTGGAGGTCCGTAGCTAATTTAGGCTTTAAATGGCGAGAGTCGAATTTTTGAAGTTTCCGGTCCGATAGTGACATTTGATCTAAGGGTCGGAATGGAATTCCGAAAATTGGAGTAGCTCTGTAGTGTTGAATGTGACGTGTTTGCAAAATTTCAGGTCGTTCGGACGAAATTTGATAGACTTTTTGATCAAAAGCATAAGTTAAGAGTTCTTAGAGTTCTTAGGCTTGAATCCTATGTTAAATTGGTGATTTGATGTTGTTGCGAGCGTTCCGAAGTTTTGAACAAGTTAGAACGATGTCATGGGATGTGTTGCACAATTGGTTTGATGTCCCGGGGACTCGAGTGAGTTCCGGGTAGGTTCCGAAATATTTTAGGCCGAAAATAATAGCTGTTGCAGGTCCAGAAGAGTTGCAGGCCTCGAAACCCACCAGTGCGGTCCGCACAAAGTCCAGTGCATCCGCGGTGGGGGCTATGTGGCCGCACAAAATACAGTGCGGTCCGCGGTGTGGAAAATTTTACTGGTCCTACTTCGGAAGCTCATATCTTTTGATCTACATGGAATTTTGGGATGATTCAAAAACAAAAGTTGTAGCCTCCGTGTCTAGTTTCTAGAAAGGTAAAGAAATCACACTT